AATCCACCCAACCCAATTCATCAATTCATTTGTTTCTGCGCCTGCTGCGGGCCAATCCAATCCATCTTATCTTATCCAATCCGCGTCTTCCAATCCAACCTATCATATTTACCAAATTCATCTCATCCCATTCAATCCAATCCACCCAACCCAATCCATCAATTCGTTTGTGTCGGCGCCTGCGGCGGGCGTTCTTATCAAATTTAGTTGATATTATCCAATCCATCTTGTCCAATCCAATCCATCTTATCTTATCCAACCCATCTTGTCCAACCTTATCTTATCCCACCCAATCCAATCCATCCAACCCGATCCCATCAATTCAGTTGTTTCTGCGTCTGCGGCGGGCCAATCCAATTCAGGGCGAGAGAGAGAGAGAGAGAAACAGAGAGAGAGAGAGACACACAGAGAGAAAGAGAGAGATGCGATCAAGGTGACAGCCTGGAGGTCAGACAGGGTGGACATTTGATCACAATCCCTCCCCCCACCTCCTTATCGCCCGCAGGGCGGTCGTATAGGTATATGTACACCCATGCGTGCGTACAGGCATGCATGCATGATTGTATACATACACATATACATACAAACATGCGTATATACATACATACACACATGCATACACGCACCTACAAGCATACATACATTCATACACACAGACATACAGCCAGGCACTTATACTGACAACCATGCATGCATGCATGCAAACACATATGCATGTATGCAGAACTACATACATGCACACACTCATGTGTACATTCAGACGTATATGTGTACACACATGCATATATATATGGATGCATGTGCATACACAGATTGTATGTATATTCATGTACATGCATGTGTACTTGAACATACACAAAGATGTAGCCCGAAACTGGAAAAAAAACATATACCTACGCCAGGCAAGATTTAGCCCAGCACTCATCTGGACTTCGCGGCAATAAGCGTGATTCCGCCAGCGTCGGACGGCGTTCATCCGCAGATGCACCAGCGCGGCTGCTAAATTGCACCTCCCAGGAAGGAGCTGTAAGCGAGCATAGGGGTGCGCTTAGACGGCCCCAGAAAATAGCGTGGGCTGCCCTCAGCGGGCTCTTTGTGAACCAAGGGCAGGAGCGGTCGTCGCCGAATCGGTGGATCGGATCGGGGAGCGTGCGTCGAAATCGAATATCACCCGCCGTGCCTGGATGCACAGCAGCGCTGATGCAGGCATCGGGCCGCATCTGATCGTAGGAAGCTCGGGATCGAATCGGAGAGTGCCAACCAGCATCGATATCGAATTGAATCGATCGGACCGAAATGGGCTCTGAAGGTTGGACAGTTGGCTGGCCCGCCGCTGGTAGGAGCAGTGGCAAAGGCGGTCTGGCCCGCGGATGCAAGGCAAAAACAAGGACTAAGGGCAAGTAATGCAAGCTTTCCCGATGATGGTTCTCAAACTATAATTCCTCGTCCTTCTTTCCTCTCCTCCGCAATTATTCTTCTCTTATCCTTCTTCATATTCCTGCTCATCATCACCACCATAAGCATCATCCAGCAAACAGCGCAGTCAGATGTGCAGGCCTCGCGGAGGTCGGCTGTTGATATTATCTCCAGCGGGATGGTGCCACGCAACACGCGACGTCGTGGCGGAAAAGAACCTCGCAAAAGCCATCCGCCAACATGTCTCAAAAGACCGCGCGGTGTGGATGGAGAAACTAACTGCCGACGGGAATGGGCGGGAGTGCGGAAGCTCTGGAAAAAGTTCTGCCCGCGCTAAGGTCGACTACGCGACTCTGAAGCATGCCTGGTTGATATCGAACGTCGGGCGGCGACATTAGCAACTCATCTTGAGAAAGTGCAGTGGGCGGCCTGGCCAACCACAGCACTGCCAGACGACGGGGGCAGCAACGAGGAGCTGCTAGTCTGCAAGGGGCCGATCGATGACGACGAAGTCCAGGCTGCAACGAAGCGCCTGCGCAATGGTAAGGCAGCAGGGCTGGACGATTTCCCGCCAGAGTTCTGAAAGTCGGCAACGAATCAGGGAAAAACAGCGTTGCTATGCATCACAAAACTTTGCAATCTGGTGTGGCGTACAGCGAGAGTGCTCGACTCGTGGCACCTAGGGAAAGCCGAGATGATTCCTAAGGAAAGAGAGCGGCATTATGTGACAACTACCGCCCAATACGTCTGCTGTGCACCGGCTACAAGCTGTTCGCCGCGATCCTGCTGAGCAAGTGACAGGAGGGCGGGAGCGTTGGACGGTGAACGGATAGCGCTGCATTGTTCCTTGCGCTCGACTGGGCAAAGGCACTCGCTCTGCCCATCGCGCTTCGTCAAAGTAGCGTCTTACGCTTACAAGGGTCGAAAGATCACCGTGGCCGACCACGCGACGCTGTCCCATGATTCTGTCAAGGTTGCCCGTCGTCGCAATGTCTGTTCACCATTGTCAATACCACTCTCCTCACAGACGCCGACGCGATGCAACGATTGCAGGTGCGCCACGCCCCCAGCGATAATTTCTTTC